TTTGTCATGAATCTTTTTATTTTTTTGTGGTAATAGTGGGATGTAAGAGGTTTATTGCCACATATGACTCTCATTAATGCCAAAAATCTTGTATTTATAACTTTTCATGTACATTGTAGGACTAAACATAGGTTCAAAAATGACTTAGCATCATTGTTTATATAATAAACTACAACAACTGAATGTACACACCTGTATCCATTAAGTTGCCATAATCTACATGTACATATTTTCCTTTCAAGGTCAACTTTAAATGATTTGCGGGTACACCTTGTTTCAAATTGATTAAAGTCACATGGAAATATATTTCCAATGCATATAATCTTATCCCAAATCAAACTTTCATATTTATCCTATACAACCTTTCCATCACACAAATCTTTAATTCCTCTAACATTGTTATAACTGGCCTTTTCCTGACATCTATAATAAAAATATTAAAACTCTCTAAATTTCCATTTTCTACTGAATTACAACATCTAATTGTTTGAAAAAAAACTAATAACCATGTTTTGGGATTACACTCACCTTAATTCTAAACTTTTTCATAATCTCTATCCTTAACTTCCGAATTCTTAATTTTTGTCCACTCAAAATCTTGTTTGAGTAGTGACTTCCAATCCAGGAATATGTAATAGTTGAACCCTACTTGAATTTCCTTACACAATTGTGATTAATGTTCAAAGATTTAATATGAGTGTTTATCACTCATCCATGAACCCCAAAGCCTGAAAATGATTTCCCCTTGAAAACAATTAAGTAGGAGTCTTATACTATTTTTAGTTTGTAGGACAATTGGTATCAATCAACAATTGCATAATTACACAACATATGATTAATTTTTTTGGGTTCTCAAATCTCATCTATAGTATAGGTGTCTGCTTTTTCCAATGCAAGACTTATCAAATCTTGCACATGATTGACTTCTATGATCAGATTCATCAACAATTCCATCCTCAATAACAAGGTTTGGTTCCCCACTAACATTTTTTTTGTTCAACATATAGCTTACTCAAAACAAATCTTCTTTAATCTTATCCATGGAAATTACGTCATCCAAATCAAGACCATATTAAACGGTTATTGATAAGATATATTCATCCTTTTTCTTTATCCCCTTTTACATGTATCCCTGAATTATTTTCTTCCACACTCTCTATTTCAGACTTGTCCTCATCAAACCATTCCTTTAATTCATCACCAAAATGGTCAACATACATGGAAATTTTCTCTCCCTTAGTGTATGTAATTTCCAAGAAGATTGCATATTCCAATTCAATTTAAATATATCTAAGACCTAAATAAAGAGATTCATTAAGAAACAATAGTATAATTTCTCATAATCTTTTTGCATGAACCTTTGAAGAAAATTGATTCATTCATGCAGATCCATCCCAACAAAGTCAACATTGGTGAATAGAAACTTCCCACATTCTGAATATGATAATGGATACATTTAGATGAGTTTGAATCATCGACATTACAAATATAAAATTACAGTAAAATCAAATAAATTTACACACTACATAATGCTTCTAACAATGGATATTATGTAAAAAAGTTATGGTATATACACATTTGGTAAACCAACATAAACCCTATTTCTTTGATGAAGTTTGTTTGCCTTTCTTTGATACAATTTTTTTTCCTCTCTTTAATGGAAATTGACATATACATTCAAATTTCATGACATACATAACATGTGAAAATACTTAAAATTCATAACAAGAAAAATATTACACAGTGAACTTGACAACTCAACTTTTTTTACCGGATCCCCCATCACTTTTATCAAATTGACTATATTGACATAATTTTTTAAACATCAGACACTTGTGGTGTAAAAAAGTTAAATGAGGGACCATCTAAGACCAAAGATGATACATTGTTACATTCTAATGATATTATCAAATAATTTTATATTCGTTAAGCATTTATTGCTCCTATAAATGTGAGCTTTTGAGCTCTAGTTTTTATTTGAAAAAAGATAGGATGATCATAAATTTTTTGTGAAAGGACATGCATGACATCTGTTTTGGCAACTATTTATCACTTTTCCCTTGCCAATGATGATGTCACCCTATTTTCTTTGTTTCTTCTGATATGGCGTTGAAAGGTGACTTCTGGCAGCTCCTCGTTATCATCATCATCGAGGTCAAATCCAAAACCCACGTCTGACTCTGAAGTTCTCCCTTGTTTATTGGAGTCAATTAATTATGATTGACTAAGCAAACTCAGATCAACGACCCACTTTGGACCATCTTTCATAATATGCCATGTTTATTGATAGCCAAAGGGTCTACCACCATGGGTGATCTTGTATTGTTGAAAAGCAATGCTTAAAATATCGAATTCATTAGAACCACTTTGACGTATGTTTGTGAGGTTGAGGTAGTAGTATATTCATTAAGTTGATTCGAAATATGGGTATTGGCGAGGTGTTGTTTTGATTACATATGGGCTGTTGGGTGAAGTGGGTGTGCTTGGGGTGCACGAAGTGTTTATGGTGTTTGGATTTTGATCGATTTTTGGATATTTGGTGAATAAGAAATAGTGTGTTTAGGAGATAAAGAATTAGTGATTGTAGTGTGAAAATGTATATGAAATAAGGTCTTATTTAGAGGTAAATAGTATATAGTTTTTCTTAAACAAAATAGGTTTTTTAATCCAAACATTAAAAAAAATAGTCACAAGAATGTTACTATTTCTTTCTCCCTTGTCATTAATCATAAGTCAAGCTACACAACAATATTTTTAGTTCCTTGTGGTATGGTGTTCAAGCGTAAGGTGGCTATGCCACCTTATCTTACGGCCTACTTTGTGGATGTACTTAGTAATAGTAACAAGTGTATTGCAATTACTAGGAGTTATTATAAAATTATTGATTTGTAGTGATATTCTTTTAAAATAATGGCTTAAATTATAAAACATAAAGTAAATTGGTTAGTATATCAACAATTATTCAACTGTCATAGTATCTCCAACGTAATAAATACGGAAAAGCCATCGGGAGATGTGGTGCAGTCCAGTTCGACCCTTCCCTTTGTAACTGGAAGTACCTGAAAATGTAAACCTTAGGGAGTTCCCCAAAATATTGCATACCATACATATCAACATGCCCATCCCATATAATGTGTCCAACCCCACATCTCCGAGCATACAAATGGGCCCATCCCAACATATCAATGGGTCCATCCTAACATACAAGTGGGCCTATTTGGACATTTCAATAGACCTAGTCTAACATGCAAATGGAAAAAATCAAACATGCATACCAATTGGCCCAACCAAAACACATAATGCAAGAGTTACAAAGACAACTAGCATCATACATAGTATAATGAGAAGACCCACTTGAGTCACGGAATTAGTTAAATGACAGCTCAATGCCCTGCAATAGATGCTACAACACTCCTATCAAAAAATACAAGGTCCATCCTTAGCCTATACCCTAAATCCAATAATCTTGATAAAAAGACAACAACCAACAATATCACCCATTAAACCTCACATCGTGACCATCCCATGGTCATGTTGTCAGAACACATTCAATCTAATTCCAACTTGATTCACGCCAACTCAGGCACGGACAACCCACTCTGCAGGCATCACGATGTGAACCCTCCCTGGTCAAGTCTTGAGCATGACATGACAAAATAATCGGGAAATCCTCCTCGGTCACGTCGCGACCACAGTCTGATACAAAAACTTAATGGTTTGAGCCTTTAATCCACTAAGTCTTCAATAGAAGCCCATACCCTCTTCTTTCTCTCACAAATAACTGGACTCTCTTTGAATCGATTCTCCTCTCACGTTTGGTTTTACCCGAGATTTTTAGCGAATCCCTAAGTTGTCAAAGGATAGAAGTTTTGAAATTCTCTCACTTGTAAATACAAAATCATTTTAATGATGATCCTTTTGTATTTCTATATGTTGGAAGAATTACAGATGTTATGCTTCAAATGGTGGCTGAGTCGATTTCTGTGTTAATAAACTATCAGAAGTCTTTGAATCTTGTACCTCCTATTTCGACTCCTAAGAAGGTGAAGTTTCAACCAAAATAGGTAACCACTCAAGAACCATCTGTGATTGATGTAATAAAGAAAGCTAAATTGAAGCCAAAGGTCGTTGTGATTACAGAGGTTCCTAAGGATGATGTTGTAGTAACTAAGAAGACAAAGTAAAATTATAAAGGTGTTGTGATTAAAGAGATTATTGCTTATGAACAAAAAAATGAGAGGAAGGCTACCTCTACAAATACACAGAATCACATTCTTAATGAAGAAGAAGTCAATGTTGACACAGATGATGAAAACAAAATATTAAGGATCTTGCATTAACTCATCCTTTGACATATCATCCTCCAACTAATAAGGATGATGTAGATCAAATGATGCATAAGAATTGGCTTGTTTCACCACGAAAGAATGCTTCTGTCAAATCGAATGTCGAGGAGACAAGAAACTCGAATGTCATTGTACACACATCTAATATGGATACAAACATCATAAATCGTGAAATGCCTTCGACTTCAGTTCTTGAGTCAAAAAAAGTTATTACACCCCAAGGTCCTACTACCAAGTCTAATGTGGAGGAGGGTAGATATTCAATCATCATTGAGAACTTATCTAATAAGGTCTCAAATGTTAACACGGGTGAGAATCCTTCAGCTTTTGTTCCTGATTCTTCGATTGTTCTACCACGGCCATCTTCATCACTACCATCTTCGAGTGTTTAAACTACATCAGTACCTCTTAATTCACCAAGATTCAAAGGTATTATCAATCAACCTATTTGTATATTATTCTATTTTCAATCTATAGGGGTGAGATTCCTTTAACTTTTGTTCCTCATTCTTCGATTGTTCTACCACCACCATCTTCACCACTACCATGTTCGAGTGTTTAAACTACATCAATACCTCTTAATTCACCAACATTCAAAGTATTATCAATCAACATATCACTATCTTATTCTCTTCTCAATCTACAGATCAGGATATGACAAATATTGAGGAAGAAGAAAGGATTGAGTATGTTGAGCTTGAATTTGATCTTGAGGAAGAAGTTATCAAGGATCATGCCATTATGTTCATGAAGCAATACAAGATTCTTAACTCAAATCTTGAAATGATTCTATAGTTCCTAAATGATTCTTATACATTCACAACTTCATCTATGAGTAGAGAAGATGTTGAGTTTCTCCTGAAATCTCAAGAATCAAATATGAAGTCTCTAATCAACAATGCAGTTACACATTTGGAGATTCATCTTACAGTTAACATGACTTCTTACAAGTTTGATATTATGGAAGTTCAAAATGTTTCTCAAGATTGACATGAGCTATTTGAGAAGATTATGACCACTTTGAAGGATTCTATTGTCAAAAAGATTCAAGATTTTGTTGATTTGGTTACAAAGGAAGTCAAGAAGCTTGATAAGTTTTGCCTTGGAATTAAACATAATGTTGATGTTATTCTTACTGCTTCAAGAACATTGATCGAAGTCATTCGTGCTTTCCATAAGGATTATGAGGAAGAGCTGAAGCTGAAGAAAGAATCTATTGAGAATACATTCAGAGGCAACGAGAATACAGTTACTTATTTTCATGATCAATAATCGAACTTTAATGTTCAAACAAGAACTTCGACCTCTGAAGAACAAATTGATACTATTGTTTCTTCGATAGACTCCTGCTTCAAAACACATCTTACTCCAATCTTGGAATTAGTTCTTTGATTACGCACAAATGCTCCACGCCCATCAATGCTTGTGTCACAAGGGGGATAAGGTTTGTTCATCGAAAGATGGATATGAATAAAAAGGTCTTCACAACACAAATCCTAATTCTAATTCCTTCAAAACATGTCCAAACAACAACAATAACTCCTAATGTCAAAGTTGATATTTTGAAGCTTCAATCGAAGAAGGGATTTAATGTCAATGAAATAGGTTCAAGATCTTCGATAGTTAAATTTGTTGCAACCTTAGAAACAAATGTAAAAGGTAAAAGTTTTCATGTTGAACCTTCTGGAGAGGAGAAAAAGAGATTGCAAGAACTTGAATTGGAAAATATGAAGCAACTCAACAACATCATGAGACAAAGAGAAAAAGACCCACCTGCTCTTGATAAGGAGGATCTAAACAAATTATGGTGCTATGAAACCATCGAGACAATAGTTATTGCTGATGTTGATGCATTCTAAAAAAAACAACAAAGAGAAGTTATGCCATGTAAGACTCAATGTTCAATCAATTGAACTTCCTATTCACTCCTTCAATGTTCACTTTTGCTCAGTTTAAGCTTGTTGGAAATTATCAAGACATTGAGGAGTATCAGAGTATGAAGATAAGATTCCATTTCATGCTTGGAAAGAAAGAAGAAGAAATTTGGTCCTTCGTGAAAATTATCAAACTTGTATCGATAACTCCTAATGTCATATTCTAAGGAGTTATTCAAAACTATCCATACAAAGTTGTCATAGCTAATAGCTCAGTTTGTGAGTTCACTATCGCAGACTTTACATTGATGAACTTGAATGATCTTATTACCTTATCGAAGATTATGGGAGATATGGGTAATGATAAAGTTCAAGACAAAACAACATACATAATTGGGTATAGTCACATGAAAAGGTTCATAGACTGTTACTTCGCTCATTTGGGGCTAACAGACTTCGAGTTCGCTACTGCCTTCAAAAAAACCAAAAGTTACAAAAAGGATTTGAATATCAAAGACTATGAAAATGGATAAATTATAATGAAACCAAAAGGCGTGGTGATTCAAGGAAAGAATATGAAGAAGTAAAAAAGAAATACTTCTTCTACATAGACGTTAAAGAAATGTATTCCAAACAGAATCTTTCTAGCATCCTTATCCAGATCAATAAATGTAAGAAGAACTCAAATGAATATAGAGCAGAGACTAGGAAGATTGTATGTTGGTATATGGAGATTCGAAGAGTATTGATGATGGTGATAAAGACACTACCTAAAGTTTGAAGATTTACTATTCATCATAAAGGGGGCGATTGTAGAGTAGAAGATGTTGTGATATATCGAAGTCTAAGTAGTAGTCAAAGTCTTTATTGTTTTCTGTATCGAATGTATCATTATTTCGATATCAATATGTATTTTATCATGCACATTTGTTATTCCCCCTTTAAGAGTCGAAGACGTGATATTTTTTTGTATCTGTCGAGGGCACTATATATAGTGCTGTTGCTTAAGTCATTTGTAACTTTTGAACTCTATTACTCTCACATATGTAGTTTTGCAACCTCCAAATAATATGAATTGAAACAAGATTATATATACATCATTGTGTTCGTATACATCTAGATTACATATTTGATTGATATCATAACTCTTCACAAAGGATTTGTAGTTAATTCACTTCTTTTTCCTTTGCTTCGGAAGACTCTACCATTGTGGAATGTCACTTTTTGGTTTTGACTATTGCATGAAATATACTTTCCGTTTATGTGTCACACCCTCGGTCGGCAGTGGAAACACCTGGTGGTGTGAACGTGTGTGTGTGTATCTCTCTCTCTCTCTCTCTCTCTCTCTATATATATATATATATATATATATATATATATATATATATATATATATATATAACATAACACAAATGTATACCACAAATATTACTTTTATTTATTATAAATTATTCTGGAATTACATTGTTTGAAAGACAAGCACACAAGTTAACATCACTGGAAACGACAAACAGACGAAACTAAACTCCGGCAAGCTTCCTTGAAGACCTCCTCATCCTCGGCACAACAATCTTCCACACTCAACTCCCTGAGAATACATGTATTTTTTACAACATCAATGTAATGTTGGTGAGTGCACATGTTTTTATAGTTTGCGGCTTTTATTTGGTTGTATTAATTTAAGAATCATTTTTCTTTTAGAAAAATCTTTCCTAACATATTTTATTAACCCTAGCTTATTATCCTTTTAGGATATCTAACGATCCTATTGTATTATATTCTTAAGATATATTTACTAATCTTAATTTACTATCTTTTTAGTATATCCAATGACCCTAACATATTTTATCTAACACTCTAAGCTGTCTCTAATGGTAGACGGATCTCTAAGGTTTTTGTTATGTATTACCATGAGCCTCCACAATCGACGTTGTTTGAATAATAATTTACCCTGCCACGACACTTCATCGGACGTCGAATAGTAAATAATAAGAAAGTTATCCTTTCGGGATTGTAGCTAGCAATCGCAGGTAGGGTTGTCAAACCTTGTATAGATATATACATATCTTCCTAGCTCTCGTAATACTAACGATTATAGGTACCAGGGAATGCCAAATTTAATCAAGGCCTTTAATATTAATAGCTCACTAACGCATTAACCTTAGGTATTTATCTTTTATCTTTTATCTTTTATCCTTCCTAGGGATTTCCTATAACTAACATAATATAAATAGTTTATCTTATATTTGATAATTATAACTTTTGATCTCATATTTTGTGTCTCTCTCTCTCTCTCTCTATATATATATATATATATATATATATATATATATATATATATATATATATATATATATATATATATATATATATATATATATATATATATATATATATATATATGGAAAAGTTTAATAGAGAACCATTATTAATCAAGGAACCAAAGAATAAATCCAAAGCATCAGAATTTAAAGCGATCAACGGCAAAATGAAGGGTTGTAAACTTTTATAATGGACGCACATGCACCGGATTATAACAAAACTCACTTCATTTTAATCATTTAAATTTTTTTAGACAAAGTTTTTTATCGAAAAAAAAAAACCTAATATACCGTTGTTCATGATTTTTCGTCCTCTTTCCATAGAGATCCACGATAATATATAAAAAACGATTTTTTTTCCGAAAAAAAACTCACTTAATTTTCTTAGTTTTTTCAATATTTAAATTTATTTGTATCAAAAAAATTAATTATACAAAATATATTAATTTTTTGTACTCTATTAATAAACATCAACACCGATTTATTAAAAAAAAAAAAAACACGAATAATGTAGATTTCACACTGTGAATCTAAACTATAAATATTTTAATTTTTAACATTCATAATATGAAAAATCTGGAACAGTTCATATTCACATTATGAATTTGAATTACTATTATGCACATTGTGAATCTCAGAAGGTTCACAAAAAAAAAAAATTGTAAATATTTCAAATATTTCAAATTTTAACATTCACAATGTAAATATTTCAAATTTTAACATTCACAATGTGAAATAACTCTGTTCAGTTCAGATTCATACAGTAAATATGAGGAGGTTTACAATGTGAATCTGAACAGATTTACAATATGAATTTGAACATGTTCACAATGTGAATCTAAACTGAAATATTGTTTTTTTAACATGAATATGAATCTATGTTTAAAAAGTACAAAAAATATGAATTTTGATATATTTATTAATTTTTTTCTATAAAAAAATAAACCTTAACTTTTTTCATCAAATAAAATGAAGTGAGTTTTTTTCGAAAAAAAAAATCCGTTTTTTATGTATCATCATAGATTTCTATGGAAAGAGGATGAAAAATCGTAAACAACAGTATATTCGGTTTTTTTCGATAAGTAACATGGCCTAAAAAAAATTTAACGAAGAAAAGTGGTGGGTTTTTTTGTAAAGGGTGAATTTTTGATATAATCCGGTGCGTGTGCGTCCAATGTAAAAGTGTACATCTATATATATATATATATATATATATATATATATATATATATATGTATATATAGATGTGGGTTCAATTGAGAAAATAAAAAAGGTTGAGAATGGGGGAATCATTCTCAGCCACTCATTTAATCTAAGCATAAAAGACACAATGACAAACTTGTAAATATCGTAATAACCTTCAATCTCAAATACGTAACTATAGAGAATTCGATAACTGTTCGTTCATCATCAAAATTTTTCCTCCAACCTTCAATAATCATCCAGATTTCTTAAACTAAACCGGAATTTCTTCGTTATTCATCAAATTGGAATCGGAGTTCTGGACTCGCAATCACAATTGACATTGAGGGACTTAGAATCGGTACTCACAGGTTCCCAATCGGATTTTCGGAAATCAAAATCAAATTGAGAAATCGATCAGAGATAAGATGTCGCATCTGAAGTCGAAATCGGAAGTATATGATGATTTGGAATTGATAACTTGATGTTTTTAACATTTTTAAAATAGTTAACTTGTTTGCACTCCAACTGTTTGATGAAATGCATAAACTAAATTAGCACGTTATATTCACATATGAATATGTTTTCTCACCTGAATCAGTATATGATTATTAAAAACACAAAACAAATATGCAAGTTTGTATGTTATTCATATGTGAATAACATATAAAAATTATATATATTTGTCAAAATACCTTCAATATTCATAAGTGAATATACCTTGTAATATTCATATGTAAATATACTATGTAATATTCATAAGTGAATATATCATCTAATATTCACAAGTGAATATACTCTGTAATATTCACATGTGATATAGCATGTAATACTATGTAATATTCACATATGAAATATCATTTAATACTCATAAGTGAATATATCATCTAATATTCACAAGTAAATATACTATGTTAATATTCACAAGTGAATTCATCGTCCAATATTAAGATATGAATATACTATGTTTATTATATGTTATATTCATATATGAATGATACTTAAATTGTAAAAAAAAAAATCATACTTTTTATTAATAAGTGAATAACGAATGTACTTTAATAAAACTTGATGCATTGTTATTCATTTATGAATAACGATAGCTGAAAATATAAAAAAAATTTATTTTATCTTAAAACTATATCAATATGGATGTCTATTTGTACAGAATAAAAAATCATGAATTTTGGTATATTTAAAATCATTTTTTGATAAAAATAGCTTATAAAAATAAAAAAAAACGAAAAAAACTATGTTTTTGTATATATTAAGGTAATGATTAGCATAGTTTAAGGAAATATGTTATGTTGGAAAACAAATGTGCATTCGTTTCCCATTTCTGCCGGTACGTTGGAACATTTTGCGGCAAAAATAAATGATTGGCTGAGAATGATTCCCCCATTCTCAACCTTTTTTTTTCCTCATCTGAACCCTCCCCTATATATATATATATATATATATATATATATATATATATATATA